TAATCAGACAGTAGTGTTTCTTTTGGAATTTACTTTTTAGGTTACTTGAATTTATTTAGCCATAATTAATAAAAACGAGCTCCAACCTAGTCGGAATAGGCTAATCCGACCAGAAGTAGTAGTCACGAAAATATATCCTCCATTCCTCCTAGTCCGAATTGTGAATTCTGACTCCCGTAATTTCCTCTTGTTTTTGTATATTGGCTGAAGGATAGCAATATAGCATTGTGTTGTTAACTTGTTTTGTGTTGATTTCGTTGGGATTGCTTGACTGATTTGTTCACTGTTTTCTATTGCTTTTCGTTGGGACAACTCTGACAGTGGTATTTTAGTTGGTCAATCTTTGTTTTTAGATGGTATGGATGCATTAGCGTATCCACTGTGGGGCAGCAGGGGCAAGTATCCCACCCAACCCCAACCCAACCCTTATATATGTTCAAATTTTTACAAGAAATTGCTCAAAATAAGAGTTAAATGTAGAAAAAAATTGTAAAATAAGATTAAAAGTGTTTTCTTTAATATTAAAAGAATGAAAGGCTAAAAAATTCACTAAATTTTGTTATGTTTAACTTATATTTAGGTAATTTTATAACCAAAGTGCCGGGCCTAGAAATAACCAAAGTGCCGGGCCTAGGTAATTTTAGGTAATTTCGGTTCGGTTAGGATCGGTTTTCCCGGTTTTACTGTTCCAAGTCCCGGGCCTAGAAATAACCAAAGTGCTGAACATGGATAGGAGGAAGCATTCTTTTTCGTGGAAATATCCGGTAGAGTCTACATTGTATTATTGTATTTCATTTATCGCTCCTAATCATTTATTTTTCATTTATAACTTTCCCTTTTTCACTTTTAACTTCTTTATTTCAAAAACTATCTCAATCGCAATTCAAAACCAGAGCGAGAGTAATCACGTCGATTGTTGGCTCTGCCTCAGCTCTTCCTCCATCTTCACGACCTCACGGGCTCCAGCCTTGACGGCTCAGCGCCTTCGCGCCTCCGACATCCGGCCTCCGCGGCTCAGCACCTTCGTGCCTCCGGCCTTCGCGGCTCAGCGCCTTCGTGCCTCCGGCCTTCGCGGCTCAGCGCCTTCGTGCCTCCGGCCTTCGCGGCTCAACGCATTCGCATCTCTGTCCTCCGTCCTTCGCGGTTCCATGCCTCTGGCATCTGCACCTCCGCTCTCCGGCCTCCGACCTCTGCTGCTTGACTGCTCCACTGCTTTCTAGGTCGCTGTTTGACTGACTCGCTAATTTACAGGCATGTGTGTGAGATTTTCAACATTTTACTATCACTTTTATTTTGGTTATAATTCATTCAATTAACTTTTATTTCTGGTTCCTTATTAAGCTTTAATTTACTTTCTGCTTAATTTTTGTTGCAATTTACTTTCAACTTTAGTTGATCCTTTCCGACTCAAACCGATATTAACTTCCTGGCTCTTGTGTTTTCTATATAGTGATATAATGTGTATTAGTATGCATAGATACATTTGTGGAGATAACTGGAGAAGGCTTATTGAATTGACATTGGACTTATTAATGTGCTATCAGAATGAATTACATTGTATGTTCACCTAAAGATACATTTTCACATGAGTGTGGTTTTGGAAGAGGAGTGGACACTTTAGTTTATTGTAGGAACAGGAAAAGAGAGGTTGAGAAAACTCTTGAAGTTTGGTGTAACACTGATAGGTCTCCAGAGTTATTTTCACATGAGTGTGGTTTTTATCCAGAAAAACTTTGATCATTTCTATCATTACACCTCTGCACCCATAAACCACTCTACTTACATTGTACTACTTTCACTTGATTTTTGAAAAAAGAAACTACTTCGTATTTATTTGTTAAATCTATGAATGTGTGCAGACCATTTAAACAACACTTTAAGAGATGGGAAGACTAGTAGAGTTCAAAAACTTAAGATTGACATCATTGTTGTACAAATCTTAAAGGAGGCAGCAAAATTTCTTACATGGTGTTCTTGCTCCCTTTGACTCTTTTTAGGCATATAGCAATAGGGCTGGTAGCTACACCAAACTTGGGGCATTGCCTGAGGGGCTCAACAACGCTGAAAAAATGTGAGTTTTATCCTACATTTGCAAAGGGTTACATTAGAAAGGGTGCTATTCAATTCTTCATGAAAGAAAATGAAAAAGCTCTGGAGACATATCATTGTGTGAATGAGTTGAAATCTTTATACTAGCTAGAAAGATGTGTTCTCTTTTGTGAATTGGGTGTGTGAATGAATTGAAATCTTTAGTTAACTGAATGATGAATATTTGGAATATGAATTGCTTCTAATCTCCTTCTTACAGAATTTGTCCTTCCAGAATTTCTCTTTATTCTGAATTGCATGATTTTTTTTGTGAACTTGTGTTTTTGTGACTTTACGGTGGATCATCCATATGTGTGTTTCACATTATATATGGTACATTTGGTTTGCATATTCATGCAGAACTAAACTTTACATTTATTTAAAGTTAAAGCCATATGCTCCCATATGCCTTATGCCTTTTTTTGACATGTCATCTCCCTATGTTCCCTTACGGTATGTCTATGTACTGTATTTTCACTTCTCTTCTTAGACAAAATGATTTTTATATTTGATATGAACATATGAACTTGGAGGTACTTAGGGGTTGACACACTTCATGATTCACGTTTCATCATCTTCACTCTTATAATAACATCATAAAAATGAAAAGGAATTTACTGTCAAGATTTCTCAAGGGAGACTTTACAGAGAATGCTGGGAGTCGGTATTATTCATCTTGTTGTAGTTCAAAAAATAAGCTTTATATGCTAGTTCTGATGAATGTTAAATATATATATATATATATATATATATATATATATATATATATATATGTCATTCTTGGTGCTCGCTATGTTAAATCTATTATCTATAGCTTTACTTTTTTAACTATTGGGATTGCTTCAGTGTTTAAAGTGAGTTTATGCGGTGTGGGAGATGGTTCTTCACTAGTTTGTTATGATTGGGTTATTCTTCACATGAAAGATTGGTATTTTGCAGGGAGGAAGTGTCATCAAATAGCGTTGAAAAGGAAAAACGATAGTATATGAATCACATTCCAGATTGGAAGATAATTGATGATGCACACCGACACTTTGTAAGGGCGACATACCAAAGAAGGAATGATAAGAAGCAAGACCAAATAATATAATATCAGTAGATAAATTTAGTAAACTGGAACAGTACATTTAATTGTATATTTGGTGTGATACTCTTATATGTTGCTTTTTGTTGCATTACTTGTATTGCATATTGTTGCATCGTGTTGCATTTTGTTGCATCAAGTTGCTTTTTGTTGCACTGTGTTGCTTATTATTGTTTATTGTTGAAGTAGATTTTTTATGTTTATTTAGGTTTCAATTTATCTTTTTCTACTTTTTTAAAACCAAAAAATCTATATATTTTTTTTATATAAACACAAAAATGATAAATTTTGATTTATGAATATAAACAACTAGAAACATAAAAAAAAAATAAGAAACAAAATTTTAAAGTAATCAACAAAAATAAACACAAAGAAACAATATGCAACAAAAAGTAAAAAAAGAAATTATAACAACAATAATTGAATTTCATAGCTATTTAATTTTTCCATTTTTATTTAGTTTTAACATTTTACTTATTTTAAATTTCATTCCAGCTTTTTATCTTTTAAACGGTCTTTAGTTTACTTTTTTCCTCATTTTATAAAATTTAAATATTTTATTTTCTATTTTATTTTTATTGGTAAAGTATAATTTGAACTCTTTGAATGTTGAATGTTTTTATATTTTATTCATTTTTTGAATATTTAGAATCACTTTTATTATATTGGACGATAGTATATATTCTGATTTTAAACAAATTACTCTCAAATTTTTATTAATTACTTTTGATATTTTATAATCATTAAACTTTATAATACGTTTCTTTTACAATTTCCCACATTTTTTAAACTATTTTAAATGTTTTCCATTTTTCTTTTCGAGATTTGTATTCCAAAGTTACTATACACTTATCTTGCATTTTCTGATTTATTATTAAAGTTTTTAAAATCTAATTTACAAGTTATCATTTTTTTATTATGCTTATTTACCTTTTAGAATCTTATTATTTTTCGATTTATTATGAACTATTGGATCTTTAATGGATTTTACATTTTTTCTGTTTCAGAACAAATATTTAGTAATTGGTGAATCTTGTAATGTAATAATATATCCGTAATCATTAGTCGTTAGTGTACTTGCACTTATAAATAATGAAGAATAGCATGGAGTGGTAGAGATTAGAGAATCACGTCAGCGGCCCAGATGTTAATACTCCGTATAGGCTATTTGTGAAAAGAAAGTACCGGCTGGTCCATTTTTGAAAGAATTTTTGAAAAGTGAAAAAAGTGATATTATTTTCATTTTTTGTCTACTTGTGATAAATTCCCTTCTTTTTCTTCCCAAATAAAATTCTCATTTCCATAATCATATTCTGTTCATCTCCAAACAAGTTTGATAATATCTTTCACAAAATATTTTGAATAATATTTTTTCTTTGTCCATTAAATTATAATAAATCTAAATAACCCAATATCATATTTTCTTAATAATAGTGGAGTAATAAGAAAACTGGCAAGAAGTTTGGAATATTTACCAATTTTTTATTTTTATGGTCTTATTTTTGAGTTATGTTTGGTTACATAGTTTTGTTTTTAATTGTTGTCTTTAGTGTTAGGTCTATAACAAAATGTTTTACTTTTGAATCGTGACAAGTACATCATAGAATAAGTGACAAGAATATATCATCAATCATGATTTACTTATAATTGCCCAAGTGGTGATTAACAAAACCTATTGTTCCTAAGTGGATAATAGTTACTAAGTCTGGTCTCAAGGCGTATGATTGAATAACGTTTTTTGCTTGTCTATTGTGTCTGTTGTTGTTTGGTGGGATTTTGTGAATTTAATATAAATCATTTTCTCTCAAAAAAAAATGACAACAGAAAACATGAAGCAAATATGCTGAATGATGGGGAATCTACAAATCTTTTCCTGCTACGGTTTTACTCTTAGGCAAATCGAAGGATATATACATACATGGCTTCTATGTTGGACCAAAAGAGTACATAAAAAAGACTTCTGTCCCATCTCAATATTAATGTACACAACTATACAACAAACAACCAATCAATTAACCCTGGACAGCCAGGGCCTGCAAATGCTCAATGAACACTTGAAGGCTAATGTCATCAGTAAAAATAACATCCACACCATCCCCGGCATGCGTTAAATTGTTATGAGTCAGAGACGGATTCAACTTAGCAAGAAGAAACCTCGCCTGACTGCTGTGTTGATCACACCTGATCACCTTTGGAACAGGCACACGATCACTCACGAACTGCTCCACATCCACTTCCGGAGCCTCCAACAACTTCCTCAAGCTCTCATGTCTTGGGTCCTGTGCATACCCGAGCTTCCTCCATTCTGCAATCTTAGTCCCGTAATGTATGACAACATAGAAGTAAGAATCGAAAAGCAAAATAACATCTGGGGAGATGGAACAAACATCCAAGAGAACAGGGACAGGGGGGCCGTCAAAGGAATACTGAAAGAGAGTGGGTTGGATCATAATGAGGGACCCTACCACTCCCTCTCGGTTCAACATAAGCCGGAAAAACGCTGTCTCGTCTGGGGTGGAATTGAAAACCTCCAAGAATTGGGACCGCCTGAGATAGTACATGAATTGTGGGTATAGTGAGAAGTTGGACGAGAGGCGGAACGAAGATGGGTCTTCTTGGGCATAATCGCCAAATTTGGAGGCAAAACGGATCAACGTCTTGTCCAACCACCTGATGACATCATTTCCATAGTTCCTCTCCAATCGGTGGAGTGCCAGCCTGGCTACTGCCGTCGCTGCTGCTTCTTGATCAAAACCAGTTTCGACGGATTCCGAGCGAGCCCCAGCCCACCTTCTTGCTGCGGTTGTCACCCTTTTCCTGACGACCCCCATGGCATCACCACACCGTCTGTAACGGGTTATGAACTGGATGAAGAATGCAGAGTTCAGCTGCTGGGCCTTTTGTTCTCCACCCACTTCAAAGTAGAAGGCGATGCACATCTTGTTAGTGAGGCTGCCAAGTTTCCACATATAGGTCCCGCCATGGCCAACTTTGTTGTGACTCACGGACCCGTTCTTCTTGTGCAAGGAAACACATGGACCAAGGGCCCCAAGGATTTTTACTTCTTTTGTAGTCACTAATTCGATCGTCGCATCAAAACACATGTCTGGATTCCCGAGCTTGTCACATCGGGTGAATAAGTAGCGAAGACATTTCTTGAATTGGTCGGAGTCAAAGGATTCCCCTAACAACATGAACCCTCCAGAAGTTTCAACAGGAACCTTAAGTTCAGCTGCCCCAACTTGATCCAAAGAACAAGCGAACAGGTCAAGAACGATTGATGAATCAGATAGTCTCTCAGAGATTCTCTTATAAAATTTAAGAGACTTCTCATAATACACTGCCCGACCATCGTCTATGTCTCTATGAGTTCTTAAAGAATTTTGAAAATCTGAATCTACAATCTTTCCTGGCCCGATGGTCGCAGGCCCGGATGTGAAAATCATGATACGAGAACCCGTGGTGACTGAGTATGCTTCCAGAAGTCCAACAGCAAGTGATATGGCAGTTCCCGTGGATCTAATAGGACGGTGACCTGGCATGACAAGTGGCGAAGGTTGGATATCTTCAATAGCAGCAGATATGTTGAATTCCCCCTCAGAGAGACGTACCAGGAATCCTGATTTCTGCATGGTAGGTATTACTCCCGTTTGGTATTTCACCTGATGAATATCTAGTAGCTGTTTGGTCTGTATGATAAATATAAAGTTACACTGTGTAAGATTGTAGAAAAATACCCAACCTCCTTAGGATTCTGGCTACAAGTTTATAACTACAGATAGAACATACATAACACAATCATGTGAAATGGAGGCACACATTTTATGTCTTAGCGCTCATCTATTAGCTTGTTTTTCTGTATCAAAGTTGCAATGTCTAATAGTCATATAATAGAGTCTGAGGCTCACGGACTCTGTTCTATGAACTTATAAAACATCATTATGAAAATGCAGGGTCACATTTATAGCTCATTTTTGTACTCATTGGCCAGAATATCTACCAAACACCAACTTCGAGCCCGTTTGGTAGCCTAATTCGAAATAATTAGAATTTCGCTCACTTATTTGGTTGAAATGGATTTTATAGAATGTATTAGAAATTGTAGCAATTTCAGCAAATACACTCATTTCACGAAATAGCTCTTACCAGGCGGGCTCTAAGTTCATTGCACTAGCTGATCATAACAGGAAAAAAAGTGAAGATGATACTTTTTGGCTAAAATGTAGGTAAATGACACTTTTAACTCCTTCCAGGCATTCATTTCTTTGGCTAAAATGTAGGTAAATGACACTTCTAAGTCCTTCCAGGCATTCATTTCTACAACTTAATTACAAATATAGTTAGATTGAAGTTTACACATTTTTTTAAATTACCAAGTCTATCAATCATAGTCATCCGTTTCACACACAAGTTCTGAAAATTTAGCCCATTCACTTTGGTCATATGAATCAAAACTTAACCTATCCAAACCAGCATTAGTACTCATCTACACCATGCTCTAGTACCTGTATTAACCAAACAGAATGTGGTTCCATAACATCTTTATGAACTTATTATATTATGCAACTCTAAAGAAGATTACAAAGTAGCAATTAGTTCACTAAAACTCCGATATTTGAAGCAGCACAGTTTTTCATAGAAACATTGACAAGTGATGCATAAAGAGGAAATGTGATGCAAGAAGTGAAACAAAGTTTAGTGTACAGTCTACCTGCTCAGATGAGAGCTCACGCTCACCATGGAAAAGTACAACCCTGAAGCACTCAACAAAGCTTAGATCATAAACCCAAACCATGGAGTCAAAAACCACCAAACCCACCAAAGCATATTCGGGCAACTGCGAAATCAAATGCAGCAGTTCATTCTTCACAACCCTTAGCTCCTCTTCCGGCGTACAGGCATCCACTACAAACACGAACGCAGGTCCGGTCAAATCCGTCCCAGATACCATCGAAAGCGTGGACAGTGACGAAAACGACCCCCGGGTTGACCTAGGAGAGGGAGACGATGCCCCATTTCCAAAACCAGATACCAAGTTCGAGGCCGAAAGCGTGGTTGTCAAACCCTTCTTCCCCAGCTGATACTCAACCGTACTATAAGTCGGAAAAAGCTCCGCCGGAATATTGTTCTCGCTGATGCCAAGATACGACTTGGGGAACGGATTTTTCCGGTAGCAAAACGGGCAGGACCATGTCCGGGTCGGGTAATCGACACGGGCATATGGATTCAAAACGGCTCCGCACTCAGAGCAGACGAGAGGGTCGTACGGGAGCACCGGCAGCTCGTTGAAGGACATTAACGGCGTCGCCATGATCGCGAGGGGGACAACTAAACCGGAAGCTTCGGATTTCGAAACGGGCCAGGAGTTCCATGACCATCGGAGACCCTCAATCGCCTCCAGCTCCACGAAATCCATGGATGACCCAGTTCGAAAAATCAGCCAAAGTCGACGGATATCTGGGCGTATGGCATGAAAAGCCTCAGTAATGTGGATTTGAGAAGCTAGGGCTTAAGGGGTCGAAACCCCATATCTACTTCGGTTGTGGCAATCTCAGTGCGGAGGTCTTGAGCGACGGCGAGAATTGTTTTGATAAAAAACTTCGATCGGCTAGATTCCGGTTCTTGCTTCAGTGGCTGGGGGTGGCTCCAACAAATTCCGGTTCTAACATCCGGCCACGAAAACTCGAAAAGAGGACATTGGTGCAAGGAGGAAGTGGACGATACTCTCCTCACGTGATATTCACGTTTCGAATATGAAGCCCACCAATAGACTAAACTAAGGGGCTATGTTTGGGACTCCAATAGTCCAATTCATCTAATAAGTAATTAGAAAGTCAAATGTTATTGAAAAAAGATAACATCCTATCCTTGAGGCCTCCCACCGGCCGGCGGACAGTTAACATGAAGAATATTAATTGAAATATAATTATAAGCTAATAGATAGTGAATGATACTCTGATCCAAGACTTGCAAAGGTCATATGTATTTTTACATAGTAAATTTTTATCTCAGTTGTTGAGATTCGAATCCAAGACAAACTCCTTTGACACTCCCTATCTATCAGTTGAGTTATGTCCACCGGCAATCAAATGTTATTGAAGTTTTGTTGTTTGGATAAAGGGCAGAATGAAGTTTAAGTTGAAACAAATTAGTTGAATTGAAACATTTCTTGTAACTAAATTAGTTGAAATGAAGCTCAAATATCTTCTTTCCCATCTTATCCTTTATTCATACCTGATACATATGTCAGTTGCCCTTCACTTTTCTTCTCTTTCATGACTTGTTTTCTCTTACGCTTAATTACTTCGAAAATGCGCTCTGTACACGCCGGCTTACACGGCCGTGTACACGACATAAAAAGCCCCACCCCCTCTTCATAACTGAATAACCCTGCACCCCAAATTTGAATTCAGCTATGTGCAGCTCCCAAAAAAAAAACCGCCACCCACTTCACTTTCCCATGCGCCCACTTTCTTCTCTTTCCTGCATCCCACAACAAAACTCTCTGGTTTGCTTCCCCCCATACCAACGCCTTCCCCTCTCTTCTTCCCGTTGAACTACTTCAGCAAACCCACTGCATCGCCGCCCCTCTCTATCGAAGTTCGTGGCTCCCCCTCTCTATCGAAGTTCGTCGCTACTTCCACCCTCCCGTCCGGTGTCTGCGCGAACTCCAAAAGTCAGTCGGCCCCTTTCAGAAAACCTTGAAGACGCTCGGAAATGGTTCACACTTCATTGAAGGAATTGGCTCTAAGGTAATTTTTTTAACCTTGTTTTGAGTTTATTTTTGAGTTTATTTTTGAGTTAATTTTTGACGGAGGTCAGCACTTGTATTTCTGAGTTTATTTTTGTTCTTGGTTGTTTCTCAATGAGGTATTGACATGCATGAATTGTTTGAAGTTTATGTCAGGCTGTGTGTATGCTATTATGTGAATTTGCTTCATTTTTTTTTTTACCATTTTTTAGTGTATAATGTGTTTTTGTTTGGAGTTAAACTGTATTTTCTCTATTGTGATTTTTACCATGTTTAGAGTTACATGTTTATTCCGTTTTCGGTGTGTTATTATATGTTTGTGGTTTTTCATATGTCTGTGTAGTGTGTTCTTAAATGTTTTTGTGATTTTGAGATGTTTGTGTAGTTAGTTCTTATATGTTTGTGCATATTATAGTTGTCTTTATGCATTTATTTATGTTTGCTATTGTGCATTTCAGACGTGTCTGTATTGCATTTGTTGAGATGTGTGTATGGCCAAGCACTTTGCAATGTGTGCACTATGCACATGTGTGTACACGAATTGAGAGTTGCCTGTATGGCATTGTTCAGCTGTTCGTGTGACATTTTGAGAAGTCTAAGTTTGTGAGAGTTGTCTGTGTCTTCTTATATGTGTCTGTATTTTAGAGTTGGCTTTATGGTCAGGTGTATGTTTTTCTTTGAATAAATGTTTGAGATGTTTGAGAAAATTGTATGTGCATGATTTGTGTAACTGTTTGTGTAAATGAGATGTCTGTAATTGTAACAAATGTCCGTGATTCATATTTAGGATGGAATTGCAAATTCCTCTTAAAGATTACTTTCCCGCGCAATACTCTGTACGGTCTGCCTTCTTAGAGGCCTTGGAACTGCTTAGCGAATTCCTAACATTGAAGCAGATGCTGATGGTTACAAAGACGCCTTTTGGACACTTGTTTGATGTTGCACAGCTACAATTCTCTACTCAACTGATTCATCTGTTTTTGTTACTCCTTGTGTGTGACTAGCCCGATGATGAAATGTGATTTGCCGTGGACAGAAAGTTGATGAAATTCACAAATGATGACTTTAAGAGGATAACTTATATCTAAGACCCTGTCCAGTGGCCAGCGTATGATGTTGATCACCGGTTGGGAGTCGTTGACAAATACTTTGATAGATGCGATGATGTAACCTATGGCAAGTTGAAGGCGAAGATTATAGAACTCAGAGCTAACCGTGACGAAGAACATTTCATGGACCGTGTGAAGTTGGCTTCTTTGTTTTTGGTCCATCGTTGTCTGCTAGCCAGGGACCCGCCAATCTTTAAAGAGCCAAACAAAAGTTTGTGTGTCTTCATTTGAGATTAAGCCACATCCAAATAATATAGATTGACCATGATGATTCACACCCACAAATGTTGCAAATGGCATGTCATATGGATTAGTTAGATAGGTTGTGTCAAAGGTGATGACATCTCCAAAACTTTTGTATGCATATCTACTTCTATTATCCGCCCAAAACACATTTCTCAAGCGAGACTCATAATCTAAATCAACACTAAAGAAGACACTGGGACATTGTGCTTGCATTTTTGAAACAAAAAAAAAAGCTTGTATAGCCATGGCATCACCACTTCCTAGCCTAAGTTCCCTATTTTTTTCTATGTAATTCCTACAACCCTTTTCAATAAAAGGTAGGGCATCATCCCCCCCCCCCCCGCTTCAACAACAACGGAGTTAAAGCTCTTGTTAAGTGGAATTCCCGCAACTTAATTAATCGCAAGATGTCTCATCGCTTTTGATGTCAACTTCCTATTGCAACGAAATAGTCTAGATTTTGTGGGACTCATGGGGTGATTATGTTCTAAAAATACTTTTGAAATTTCCCATGACCAACATAAGTAGTCCGTGCTCTAATTCTTGCCGAACAAGATGTTTGCATTGAAGCTTGAGGCTTCAAACAGTTCAGTGCCTTGCTACCCCTACTTCCCGCCCGCGAACACTCTGTTACAATTGCCACTACCTCTACCTTGCATCTATCTTTAGTTGATGTTCCTTTTCTAACCAGGAATCTTACACTTCTAGCACATGTTTTGTAAAACTTATACACCGTGTCTGTGCTATCAAACTTCATGCCCACTTCCGGAACAACCACGATAACATTTTCTTCCTTGTCATCCTGTGCATATGCATATGTGATTTAAGAATATGTATATACAGACAAATTTATTCAAATACAGACATTATTAAATACAATACAGACAAACTACTTCATCAGCTTTACAGAATGATCAAACCGCTTACAACGAACAAATGAATAAAATAATATTAAAAACAGACATTATAAAATGAAATACAGACAATATCAAACCACTCACAATGAAATAATACATAATTATGGCAACATATTTGTAATTGTCTGTACGAAGAGACAATTAATGTCTCCACACAGACAAATTACTTCTCTACATACAAAAATATACAATATTAATTTGTCTGTGCATTCAAAAAACGTTGTTTGTGAAGCTTCATTACACCACCACATAACAACCGTGAAGAAACGACGCTACATAAACACCTACCTTGCTCAGCCTCCACAGCTTTCCCATCCGGCGCCCCTTCATCGCCTTTCATGGAAGCCGGAGTGTGTTCAACTCCTTCCGTGTGTCTTCATGATCTTGCATCCCTCCCTCCGTCGCTAGTTCACACCCTTCCATCGCGGCTGGCGTGTTAGCGCGACTTGGGCCGAAAATATCCTCCCATGTCCACCCCAGGCCTAGTTCGTCGTCTCCACCATATGTCTTATTCGCTTCCATGCCATTCGTCGTCACCGCCATACAAACTCGATCACCAGTTCAAAGCAAGAAGACCACCACTTTAGAGAAGGAAGAGATCACAGACAAACGAAAATAATGGGACAGACAATTCATTGGTTGCGCATGGGTTACGTTTTGGAATAGAGGAGAGAGGGTGGGGGTTAATACAATTAGAAAAAGGGAGGGGGTGAGCTTTTTATGTTGTGTACGCGGTCGTGTAAGCCGACGTGTACACAGTGCATTTTCGTAATTACTTTGCCCTGCATTTTAACATATTCATGTGAGTTGTTGCGATCCGAATTCTTCTAATCTTCTTTGAGTTTCAGGTATAATTACCTGAGGTATAATTACCTGACGACTAACAAGATATTATAATATGTTTCTAAGATATTGATTTTACTACAATTCTTTTTAGAGAGACAATTCATTCTTATCAACATGTTTTTTGTGAGAATTTTCTTTGGACTGTTTAGAAAGTTTCTATATTAGCTTGTTTCACGTGCTTTCAAAAGAAGAGGTTGAAACTTTTCCTTATGAATTATACCATAAAACTAGCAAAATGATTGAAGTATGATTGTGAAATCATTGCCAAAATGTTGATTCAATTAGATATGTTAGCAAAACTTATAATTGAATTTTGTTAATCTTAGCTTTAAGAATTGGGAAAAGCTTTAATGGGGGGAGCACACAAGTACTTCTAAACGTGTAGGGTAAAATCTTAGCTCTAAATGGTATTGCAAAACTAAGTAGTGTAAAAGTGTTGTTATATTTAAATTTTAAAGTATAACAAATAGAAGAAATGGAAGTATATGGTTTCTTGAAAGTCTACTCACCCTATATGACTTCATTCAATACTTTTATTATAATTCATATTTCAAATAAGTATTTTGTCATGCATATAAGTCTAAAATAGTGTACTGCCCATAGGCCCAAAAATGGACAGGACCGGCCCTGTTATGATAAGAGCCAAAATTTCAAAGTAATCCTTTAATTAATTACTCTTATAATAATCACCTAATTGTGCAAAAATCACAATTCATATATTTAACACACATAAATTAATACCTTTTATAGTAATTTTACATTCAATAAATTATTTCAACCAAGATATTACCAAACACTTTCAGTTATATGCAGATTGAGCATTTTCAGGCTTTATAGTCATTCTACCCGTTACGGCCCTTAAAAATTTCTATACACATCACTAATTTCAAGGGAGCAGCGTCTGGTTGAAATAAATGTGTATGAAC